GCGTCCAATTTTAGTTGAATGTATAGGTCTGGAGCAATCCGCCTTTCTTCCCGGAAGAGGCACTTCAAACAACGCCATCGTTCTCCATGAGGTTATTCACAAATTTAACCAACGGCATCGGGGGGCTGAATTCGTCATCAAAATTGATTTGGACAAGGCTTACGACAGGGTGAAGTGGAAATTCCTTCGGGACTCATTATCTCAACTGGGACTGGACGCACCCTCGGTCACTCTTATCATGGAGTGTGTGACTTCCGCTCATTTTGCGATTCTTTGGAATGGTCGTCCGTCTCTTGAAGTGTACCCTTCTCGGGGTCTTCGCCAAGGGGATCCGATTTCTCCTTATTTGTTCGTCATCATTATGGAGCGACTTACTAGAACCATCAACCGAGAGGTCAGTACGCATAATTGGGATCCTATTGTGTTGTCTCGGGGAGGTCCGGAGCTCAGCCATTTGTTATTCGCAGATGATGTCCTGATTATGGCACAAGCTAATGACGCTACGGCCAAAACTGTTAATAAAGTTCTTCATGCTTTTGCGGATGAAGCGGGCTTATCGATTAACCTGAGTAAATCTGAAATCATCTTTTCGGTGTCGACACCAACAGCTAAGCGCAATCGGGTCTGCCATCACCTCTCCATGCCAATGACGGATTCTTTTGATAAGTATTTGGGCTTTCCCATCATTGCTGGAAGGCGTAAGGTTTCTCACTTCGATTTCATAATAGAGCGTATTTCGCGGAGGCTTCCCCCGTGGCGTGCTAAATTTCTTAACAAGGCGGGCCGTACTACTCTTGCGCGCTCGGTTCTTTCTACCATTCCGGTTTATTTCATGCAAATTGCATGGTTTCCGGAGAAAACTTGCCAACAAATTGATAGCATCATTAAGAGATTTATTTGGCGGGACCGCGATGGTCGGGGGTTACATCTAGTGAAATGGCAAACAGTGGCTAAGCCGCGTCGCTTGGGGGGCCTTGGCCTTCGTCAAACGCGGCAAATGAACATAGCTATGCTGGGGAAGAAAGTCAGCGAGTTTATCGACGACACTCCTTCTCTTTGGGTGGTTGCTTTGTCCCACCGATTTGGAAGGGGTTACGAGGGGATCAGAAGTTCCAAGACCCAGTCCTCGTCTGTTTGGACTGCATTGAGGAGGTGTTTTTCTGTCATTGCGAACGGTTTCACCTACAGGTTAGGTAATGGGGAGACCAATTTTTGGGAGGGAATTTTTCTTCAAGGTAAACCTATCAATTGTCTTGTCGACTATGTCCATATATCGGATTCTGATAAATCATGCCGTCAGTTGATCGTTAATGGAAGGTTTGAGCTTCAGTCGTTGCAAACGGCCTTCCCAGATCATGTTCTTAAGGCCCTGACAGACGCGAGAAACATTTATCTTCATCCTTCTGTGTCGGATAAATGGTGTTGGTCGGTTGGTAGTCTCGGGAAATACTCTGTGGCTTCTTGCTACGAATGGCTGCTAAATCAGGGCGTAATCATGAAGGCGAAGTGGAAGAAGATTTGGAGAGCAGACATTCCTGAGAAAATAAATTTTTTCTGTTGGCTTATTGGGCATCGCTCGCTTCCTACGATGGAATTGCGTCACCGTAGACATCTTGATTCTACGGGTACGTGTTCGATTTGTGGGGATGGGATGGAGAATTGGGTGCATATGTTTTTTGAGTGCTCGTGGACTGCTCCGGTTTGGGCTGGGCTCATTTATCACGGTTTTCCTCATCGGCTGGCTCATACTATTCCGCTCGACAGCCAAGCTTTCGAATTTATTGTTCACGCGCCCACGGGGTTGAGGTTTGCTCTGTGGTTCTTGTGGGTGGAGCGTAATAACAGGGTGTTTGGAGACAAGGAGGCGGGCGAACAGGTTAATGAATGGGGCTAGGCGAGATAGTTCTTCTAGAACTGTTACCTGGAACCCTTATTATTGTAAAGGGATGATCTTGCATACTGATGGTTCGTCATTGGGCAATCCAGGCCCGTCCGGCTTCAGAGCTGTTTTGCGTACTCACGAGGGGGCGTGGATCGAGGGGATTTCAGGTAATATAGGGATTGGTGACAATTCTCTTGCCGAAGTGGTCGCGATTCTTGAAGGGTTA